TTGTAACTGTTCCAAACAACCGCAGGTAACACGAGAATACCAACCCCCCCCCCCACTCCCACCTCCCGCATTACTTTTCAATACATCAAAGCTATTTACAACTCCTGTGAAGGCACCCTTCTGCTTTATTGCAGATTAATGGAAAAGAAAGAGTGCTATAAATCACAGCCTCCAGAAAGTTGTTACGATGCAGTGGAATAATTTTTGCTGTCGTGAAAAGATTCCTGCGCAGAATATATATTTTCTTTTGAAAAAAAAGAAAGTCTCCTGGTGGAAGCCGATAATTGACGATACTTTGTAAAACGGGCGAAAAATCACTTAGAAGCGAAGAATAAAAACAATGGTAACGAGTTCACATCGCGTGTCTTTGAGCAGCGGGTTTGAGTTATGGAATTTCAGAAGTCCCGTCATTTCGAACTAAGACGTTGGCCAAAATAGTTGCTTCTTTTTGAAACAGCTCTAAGTTACGTGCCATTAGCAGATGTATTTGCAAAGTGCCAATAAAAAGATATTACGCGGACTTCATTCGGCTTCGGTGGAGAGAGACGGATGGTAAGGTAATCGTGGTACTTCTCTGGCTGTTGATGTTAAAGAGAAAGGAGTTCCGATACATGAAATTGCAAGTTACTGAAAGCTGGGTGTGAGGTTCCTTTTACCCAATGTTTCCAACTAAAATGAGAAGAAATCCCTGAAGCAGAAGCAGGCTCCCGGTCAGCTCGCTGTGCCAAACGCTTTGAGACGTCCTCCCGACGTGACAGTGTAAACAGTGATGGTAAATTTTTCAAATGCACTATACACTGTGAAGGCCGTTATATAAATGCAAGTTGTTGTTGTTGTTGTTGTCACACTTAAGCTCCATCTCAAAAGAAGGTGGAAACTTCCCCGACAGGACAAAACGTTAGGCAAGTTTTCTTACTCCACACGCCTCTGTTTACCTAGTGGTAAGTAGGATCCGGTTGTTAGTTACTTTTTCGGGGGTAATAATCCCTTTAAAAAAAAGATAATTTGGCCACTCAATCCACGACTGTTTGTGGGACGCTGCTGTGTACAATTGGCTGCTGTGTTTCTCCCACAAAATACAGAGTCAATTCACTTTGCAGTATATTCTGTGAAGCGCTTTGAGACATCTCGAAGGCGTGATACCAAATGCAAGGATTATTATTATTATATTATTAAGTACAACGATGAAGTAGATACTCACCAGAGAAATAGTGAGGTGCACACATCTTACATGTTATCTTACACCTCGCCCCCTCCTTAGCCTCCTTCAAGTCCCGCATCAAAACCCTCCTCTTCGACCATGCCATTAGCCACCCCCTTCCCCTCCCTTCTCCCCCCCTGACCCCAGCTCGGGTCTGAAATGCTGTTACACTGTCCAGCGCCTTGGAACGTTCTCCCGACGTGAAAGGCGCTATACACATGTAATCTTGTTGTTGTTTTAAACATTAATATGATTATTTGTTTAATATGGCCCATTAATATTTACGCACTTCAATCAGGATTGGTTTGAGTTGCTAATACAGGTCAGTAGAAAGGATCCTCAAATTTGGGTTGGAGTTTTAGTAAGCCATTACTTTTACAAACCTTAATCATACATGACATCTCAGCCTATTAATAGGTGCATGCCGTGAAGCAATTCACATCTGAGGATAAGCATTAAGTGTTTTATTATGTTAAAATAAACCAGGAAATATCATACAATGACAGTGATTACAATAACTGGAATAAAGGTAGCCATTACAACTGCATCTGTTATGCACTACCCGGTTTACCATTGTATCCTGGGGAAGACAGCCTGACAGACTCCTAACCTCGATGCTTTTTCTTGATAAATGGACCTCCTCTGGTAAACTGCTCTCTGGAGCGATTAAGCTATGCAGTTGTTATAGGTGAAGCTCGTAATTACATCCTCTGTGTGAATAAAGAGTTGTGTGTGTGTGTGCTCAAACTTGACATTTTACAATATCAATGATAATAATAATGTACGCATTTGATACAGCGTCTTATCACGTCTTCGAGACGTCTCAAAGCGCTTCATAGAATATACTGTAAACTGAATTGACTGTATATTTTGTGGGCGAAACACGGCAGCGTCCCTACAAACAGTCGTGGATTGAGTGACCAATTTTCTTTTGAAAGATTGTTATCGACGGAAAGCGATCCGCCAGTTGACTAACTGATACACTTGAACTGATACCAAACACAGTGGGACCTCCACTTCTGTACATCAGGGTGATAGACATTTGCACTCCATTAGCACTGCCGTTCTCGGGATCTACTTTTCACGGCAGTGATCTCTGCTGCGACACGTTCTGAGATGAATTCAAAGCTCTGGGACACTTTTATGTTGAGGTGAGTGTTAATCCCACTGCCCCTGACATGACCATCTCCAAGGTGATGTGAGCAGCAGACCTCTAGGGCGATTTTCACAACTCTCTTCGGTCACCCTCCTCCCCGCCCTCCACCCCTCCTGATCCCAACCCCAAGCTCAGGTGCGGTTCCCTGACTGTCCAGTGCCTTGGTACGTCCACCTGACGTGAAAGGCACTGCGTAAATGTAATTGGTTGTTGTTGTGGGTTCAGCCCCATGTTGAAAAATTGCAGTAGCAAAGTCCAGGCTGATATTCCAATGCAGCGTTGAGGGGTGGGGGGAGGGTTTAGGGGGTGCATTGCCAAGGATGCCGTCCTAAAGATGAGATGTTAAACCAAGGTACTATCTGTCTCTTCAGGTGTGTTAAAGATCCCATGACATTACTTTCCTCGAAAAGAGAATGGAGTTTCTCCTGATCTCTCACCAATAATTTCCCCAGATAAAATTGATGATTAACTTCATGGCTGTTTGTGGGACATTGCGGTGCACAAATTGGCTGCCCCTACAATATCCAGTCACTGCACTTTACAGTGAACCCGTGAAGCAGTTTGAGACAACCTCCTCATGTGAAAGACACGATCTCAAATAAATCCAAGGATTATTTTCATTATATTTATTATTATTGATGTTGCGCATTTAGATGGCGATTTGCTGCCAGTAGAAAAAAAGGAGTGTCAGAAGATGGCTCGAGCATAATTAACCCAAGTCTGAATTAATAATAATAATAATAATCCTTGCATTTCATGTAGCGCCTTATCACGTCTTCGAGACGTCTCAAAACGCTTCACAGAACAGACTGAAAAGTGAAGTGACTGTATTCCTGGGCTAATAATAGCAAACTGAGTTTATTTCACGTTCTACCCATCTTAATTAATGAAATTGATTAATTAAGATGGGGGGGGTCAGAGGGAGATCCCTGATTGTTTTAATTTGAAGGTGAAATTGCAGTCAAAATATAAACAGACCTTTATCTCCTGTGTGGTGTTCCTGTCTGAGTGGATCCAGAATGCCTAAGCCTTTATCGCAGCGGGTGCAGGCACTTGGAGATGTAGCTATTCAAATCAGCACTGCTTTTAGCTTTCAGTTCCTGTTACTTATGAGGAGTCAGCCTTGCTCTGACTTGCACTCAGCCAGAGATCTGCAAGTCTGCAAGAAAACCCCCGAGCCCCAGCTTCAGCTCACAGTCAGAACATTGCTCAGCGGCTCATGTGATTTCCTCAGCATCTTTAAGCATTGCAGGGATTTGTCATCTCCCCTGCTGTCACCAGGATATTCTGCCTTTAAATATAAAGAGGAGCATTTCACTTTTAATGTCCTGTTCCTGATAATTTGTAGGCAGACGCACAGATGCTAGCCAACATCCCCAGTGAACGTCACACGGAACTCTTGATACAATAACCAGTAGGTAAACTTCACTTCACGGCTGTTTGTGCGTGGTGGGGTGTTGCTGTGTGCAAATTAGCTGGGCCCCCGTCTCAAGACCCTCCTCTTCGACCGCACCTTCGGTCACCCTCCCACCCCTACCTTCGCTGCCCTCCACCCCTCCTAATCCCAACCCCCAACTCGGGTGCAAATCCTTGACTGTCCAGTGCCTTGGGATGTCCTCCCGACCAGAAAAGCGCAATTCACATTTTTTGTTGTTGTTGTTGCATTTGCCTACAAAATACACAGGTAAAATCCTGCGAAGCGCTTTGAGACATTTGGAAGATGTGGTGACAACAAATGGCATTGATATAGCACCTTTCACGTTGGGAGGTAAGGTGCTGTATCAAACGCAATGATTATTGTCAGTCATGAAATCAGTCCTTGCAATTTGATGCAGCGCCTTATCACGTCTTTGAGACGTCTCAAAGCGCTTCACAGAATATATTGTAAAGTAAATTGACTGTATATTTTGTGAGCAAAATGTGGCAGCCAATTGCACACAGCAGCGTCCCACAAACAGTTTCAAATTGAGTGTCTAAATTATTATTATTATTGTTTTATTGTTGTTTTTGGAAGGACTATTACCCCCAGAACTGCTGGGTACCTATTTACTGCGAGGTAAACAGAGCCGTGTGGAGCAAGGAAACTTGGCTAAGGATTATTAAAGTATTGTTGTTCAATTTCAATCAGTTTAAACTTCAAAAGAGTGCAGAGCAGACAATTGATTGCCTCTGACTAAAGTCATTCACTGCATTGTGCACGCGCATCACAATCTCGGACTTCCTCACATGAACAAAACATATCAACAATTTCAAAAATAATGTCATTGGAAAATTCCCAACTACCTGAGTGAAAATCCTTGAAATCTGTGTAAATGTTTTATCCATGAGATTTTTCCTTCGTGGTTTTCAAGGGTATATGCAGATTTGCAAAGTCTCCATAGCTTCTGTGAAATTGTGCATCGCACGGAGCTTTAATTGTAACTCGAAAAGTGTAACAGGATCTGTTAAGAGAGTCAAAGGACCGTAGAGTCTAAACCCCTCTCCTGTAACTATTCTTGCTCTGTAAGCCTGATTAATGTTGTCGTCAGCTTTGCACGCTATTGTAAATATGCCAGCTCCGAGTTCTATCAGAGCGCAGCTTCCGGACAGGCGTGAGGTTGGCTAACTCTGTGTTAAAAGTCGACGGTCTTTTGTGTTTTGCAGGGAGTCCCCAAGCCTATTGCTGTGGAGCCGTGTTCGACGACCAGAGCTGCAGTTCTGACCGTTTTTATATGTCTGCCGAGAGGCTCGTGTGGAACCCCACCTCCCGGTCAATCAGGTGAGACTCAGACCCAGAGACCAGGTTTGCTTGAAACTTCCGAAGGAAGGAAATTGATCTTTGCGAGATCTTTGAGATTCGTTGTTTTCTCGCCCACCTGAGGGGTGGCCAGAGGCAAAGAGAAAAACTGTTGAAAATAACCCGAGTCTATTTTTTTTAGATATGTATTGTAATAAAACCCCGGAATTGGAACCTAGCCGAAACCGAAAACGACACCTTCGAAATTCTTTCCTTCGGTAATTCTGTAAAAGAGTTTAGTCAGTTAGGTGATGAGTCGTGAATTAAGGTCTCCGAAGAGAATTGTTTGAGTCAAACGCATTCGGCCCCCAATGTGTATCTTGCCGCGTAGTAAATGACCATTGCGATTCAATGCTCCGGTTAGTCAGAAGAAGAACGTCTCTCGCTTGGTGGTGAACAACAACAACAAATGGCATTTGTACAGTGCGGTTCACTTTGGGAGGACGTCCCAAGGCACTGGACAGTCAGGGATTCGGACTGAGCCCGGGTCAGGGGACGGGGGGGGGGGTTGGGGTAAGTGAGGGTTGAGGGCAGGGAGGATATAGGAGGGTGGTCGGATACACGGTCAAAGAGGAGACTCTTGAGACGTGTCTTGAAGGAGCAAGGGAGGGAGAGAGGCGAAGGGAACGTGGGATGGAGTTCCAAAGGGTGGAGGCAGAGAGGCTGATGTCCTGAACGCCGATGGTGGGGCGGACCAGACCGGACAGGAGACATGGAGCAAGCCATGACAGTCAGCTCTTAAGCTGAAAGCGAGTTCTTTTTGTCTTACCTCCGCAGTTTTGATGAGCAGTTAAAAGTCGTGATCTCTACCTTTGCTGTCGCTGATCGCTGTGATGAAGGGAATTGGTTTATCCCAACTTTTCCCATTTAACATTCTCCAAAAAAAAACAAGGGAGTTACAGATGAGTCGTTTTGATCTATGCTGGGGGTGGGGAGAAGCGAGTGGGGGGTGGGGGGGCAGGAGCGCGGGGTGGGAGAGAGTGGGGGGAAGAGAGGGGTTTGAAACAGGTTGAAACAAACCCAGTTGAAACGATAGATTTTAACCTTGGCAAGATCACAGCACGGCCCTGCTTAGGACCAATGGCCATTTTAACAACAACTTGCATCGACTTAGCGGCCTTCACGCACGCTGGAGGGTGTCTCGGAGCGCTTAACACCGCCGCGGGAACAGAGACGCTGGAATTTGGGAGCTCCGGGATTTTAAAGGCGGCCCCCGAAATACCAGGCTGACGAGCAGGAGCAACAAATGGCAAAATAGGCGCTGGAAATCTGAAATCAAAACAGAAGTGGCCGAGTACACACAACAGGTCAGGCGGCATCGATGGAGAGAGGGAAGTGAGTTAACGTTTCAGGTTGATGACCTATCGTCAGAGTAGCCAAACTTGTTCCATTGCCAGCTGGAGTCTAGCCCTCGGGGTGTTCAGACCGCAGCAAATTGATGGTTGCCTCGGCATTATAGGGGTTGCCGGAGCTTTTAACCCGTCGCCTTTCACCTTACAGCCAGGAGCACCGCTCGTGCAGCTGTTCTTCAGTGTTCCATATCAGCCCAGACCCCATCTGTGAGCCTTCACCAGTGCTTTTCACAGCTTGTGGGACACTTGCCCAGATGGTGCCATTTTACTGAAGCTTTTTCTATCTGCATGTTCGATGCAAGTTCGAATGCAGTGGTAATCATTAGCGGAGGTGTATGGGGGAGGTGGGGGGTGGAGGGGGGTGTGAAGGTGTCATGAGGGGATGCTTGAACCAGGAGGAAGCACCCAATGTGGAGTCCTGTAGCTCAGTGGTTAGAGCACTCGCTTTGCAAGTGAGAGACCTGAGTTCAATTCCAGGCAGAGGGCGAAACCTTGGGCAAGTTTCCTTACTCCACACAGAGCCTAATAATAATCCCTCCAAAACCAAAAACAATAATAAATTGTCATTTTCAATCTATGACTGTTTGTGGGACACTGCTGTGCGCAATTGGCTGCCGCCTTCGCCCACAAATATACAGTCAATTCACTTTACAGTATATTCTGTGAAGCGCTTTGGGACGTCCCCCAGCCGTGAAAAGCGCTATATCAAATGCAAAGATTATTATTATTATTAAATTGGTCATTTTCAATCTACGACTGTTTGTGGGACATTGCTGTGCGCAATTGGCTGCCGCGTTCGTCCACAAATATACAGTCAATTCACTTTACAGTGTGTTCTGTGAAGCACTTTGGGATGTCCTCCCGATGTGAAAAGCGCTAAATCAAATGCAAGGATTATTATTATTATTAATAGTAACAATAATAATTTGGTTCCTCAATCCATGACTGTTCGTGGGACGCTGTTGTGTGCAAATTGGCTGCCGCGTTTTGCCCACAAAAGATACAGTCAATTCACCCTACAGTGTTTCCTGTCAAACGCTTTGAGACGTCTCGAAGACATGATAAGGCGCTGTGTCAAATGCAAGGAATATTATAATTATTATTGCCCAGCCGTCTCCACCACGGACTGTGGCCGTTTTGTCAGTCGCCTGGTGAAAAGCAAGAACCCCCTCTGTCTGCCAAAAGCCGTCAGAAGGAACGCTGGGATGGCTCAACGTCGGAGAACAAAAGGAAACAAGCGGAGAGACCCGGTCAGATCGACGTGGGTCACCAGAGAAGCCCCATCTGCCAGGGAGTAGCTAACCCTGGCTTGGAAGCACACCCTGTGCTCTCAGGCAATAAATGAACAAGAGCAGCCAATTCACACTTGGCCACACACGACACCAGATTATGGGGAGATGGCTTGGCTCATCTCCGTGTAATCAGGAATTGTTATTTTACACGACTCTCTTGCAGCTGGAGCCTCAACCAAGAGACCTTCCTTCTGTCAAAACCTGGAGTTCCTCAGGGCCCTCTTTGCCTCGAAGCAGGGAATCCTCTGCCTTCGCGACAGCCATGTCCTTTCCTTAAAAATATTGAAATGGGTTGGACCTCCGCTAGCTGGAGCCTCAGGAGTCCTCCGCAATTTCACTGGTTATTAGCCAGACCCAATAGAAAGAGAAGAGAGGTTTCGAACTTCGCCATTGCTCCCCGAAGCGTGTAGAACTCTCTCTCTCTCTCTCTCTCTCTCTCTCTCTCTCTCGAACTCTTTGCCTTGCAGCCCCCACCAGCCTCCCACCACTCCTCAATTTCAGGTTGCGGCTTGAAGACCTACCTTTTCGACCGTGCCTACGGTCACCTTCCCCCTCCTCCCTGGCTTGGCGTCGCACTCCGCCACTGTCAGGCGCTCTGAGGCGCTGTCCGGTGTGAAGGGCGGTATATAAATCCAAGTTGTTGTTGTTTCTTCTGAGGCAAGAGCAGACTGGATTGACAGTCTCAGCTGGGGAGAACTTTTTCCACCCAGTTGGACTCTGTAATTCCCAAGCCACTCGTCTTGTTACGATCATCAGAACAAACTGTCCAAGCGAAAATATGGAGATATGTATACACAGCAATAATTCTGAGTAAAAATAGAAATATTATTGTGAGCACGGGGAGTGACAAGTGCAACTCACTGTTAAATACAAACAGAAAAGTTCTACTAACCATCTGCAGCTGGTAGAAAATTGATGCAAAAATTGTCCCTGCAAATAATCACAACCCAATGCAGACAAATCAGTGATCAAGGAAACGAGGAAAATCGGTGTCTTTTCAGATACACAAAAGCCTGGATGATCCGCTCCGCACTTGATTGATTCGTATCTTCGCCAGCTCGGTGGCAAAGTTAGCTGCAGTACTTGGCTGCTTGACCTGCCTGAGCTAAGCTATGCAGCTGCGAAACTGTGTCCGTGTCGGTACGTAAAACGTTACGAGCGGAAAATTTTTCATCTTCCTGAACAGTGAATCACAATCTGTTGCTAATCTTCGCCAAGAGACAATTACTTTCCGCTGTGAATCAGCTTTCACTCCGACAGCTTTCACAACCTGAAAACGCACTGATGTTCACCTGACAGCTATCTGTCTTGGCGATTTAAAAGCGCACGCCTTGTTGCAAAACAGAGATGGCACATGACTCTTGAGTTTTTTTAAAAACAACATTGACTTTAGCCCGATAAAAAAATCAGTTGCTGCAGTAAAGTTGTCCCCTTGGAGACGTTATTAATAATAACAATCCTTGCATTTGATATAGCGCCTTATCACGTCTTCGAGACGTCTCAAAGCGCTTCAGAGAATATACTGTAAAGTGAATTGACTGTATATTTTGTGGATGAAACGCGACAGCCAATTGTGCACAGCAGCGTCCCACAAACAGTCGTGGATTGAGTGACCAATTTAGCATTTTTTTTTGTAGCATAGCGCTTTCAGGACATTGACTTTGTCTGTTTGTTTGGAGGGAGGGATAGGAGGGAGGGAGCAGTGGTTTTTAAAACATTAGGAGACATTTGAAATGTGGACAGCACAAAACAACTTAAAAATAATAGCAGGGGTTGCAAGTATATTTTGAATAGGTAAGAGTTTACCAATTCGGGATTACATTAATAGAACAAATTCATTCCTTTAAAATCTATTTTTCTTCTTGAAGAGTATTCAGCAGGTGTACATTGAAATTGAATCAAAACCCTAAAGCGCATTGAGAAATGTTGGTATAGTGATGTGAACATAAGCGTTCTTCAACGCAGCAGAATGTTTCTGAACTGAAATTGTGTCAACCTGGTTCAGCTGGGCAGCTCTCACGCAAACTCACGGGAATTTTCCATCTACCCATCCATCCCGGAATGGAAATGAAGACGTGAAGTACGTATTGAGATTATTAATGCTTGAGTTTTAGAATTGATAGAGACGCAGAAAATGTTTTGGGTTTTTTTGGTTGTAAAACATCTTTTGAATCATTGGGGCTTAGTGACGAAACCAAGTGCAGTAATGGGCAGTTGTGGTTTATATTAATCCCAAAGCAGTGTAAATAGCTCATTCATCATACATGGAGATGCTTCCTCAGGGAACACTCCAGTGGGAGTTACTAGCCTTCCAGTCAGGGTCATCCTCATCGCTATT